CAAGAATTTAAAGAAAATACCTTGGCAACATCAGGGGGTGAAATGGAAGGACTTACATCTTCTGCTGTCTTGGAAGCATCGGTTATTTCAACCGAAATCGGCTCCTTTGGAGGATCGACCAATGAAGGTTTAGTTGATGCTGACTTGAATGCCTGGGACAACAGTTCCGCACCCAGAGCCGATTGGAATGCAATGGTTGATAACTATGAAGAAAGAGGATCAGAAGTTGAATATCATTTTGAGGAAAAAACGAATTGTTTACCTGAGCAACTGATGGTCTCGTTCTGTGGAGTCTTTTCCTAGTAATGGCTTTCTAGGTTGCCCCTTGGACCGACTTGCGCTTTGAAGATTGATAGGTCATGATCGTGGGGGCAGCATGAGTTTTCATCAATTTCTTCAATGGAGGTGCGGCTGATCCTATTCTTGAAACTAGGCATGGTGGCTGATAATCTATAGGATACCCCTTCCTATCCAAGCTTGGAGGATTGAATTCAATGTCCTGAGAGGGTTGGTTAGAACAATTGGCAAGAGAATTCATTGAATAATTTTTTGAAAAAAGAAATGGTAAGTGACCTCTCCGTCAGAAGCAAATTCCCCATCCAGAGCTATGCACAAAGGGTGGACCAACCCACAGAAGAGTTGGGAGTGCCATTCTTGTCACCAGGAGTCAAAGAGAGTGGAAGAGAAGCTGACTCTGATCTAGTCATGCAAGCAAAGGGAAGGAAGATCTAATCCCAATTGAAAGACTCTGGAGGCTTCTATCACCTTACTGATACCCTCTCTTGGCTTCAGTGTGTTCTTGAAGAACAATTGAGGGGGGAGTTGACCAAGACCAAACTGACGGGCTACGAAAGACGGATTGTAAAACTCATAAGTTGGAAGGTTGCCTGGAAGGAAGAAACCTATAGCCATTTTACCACGGCCATGACAAAATTCAGCTAGAAGAACGCAAGGTTTGATAAAGGAATTAAGGATTGCAGCTGCCGTTTCATCTAAACAGTCTGATTCAAATCAAAATTTGAATGGAAGGACCAGCTTGTTGTTCTCATCCTCATCATAGGGTAGCCAAGTCAAGATATCTGCATCAAATCCTCTATAAAACTTTTTAAAGAGATGGCCAACATCGACATCAATTGTTATGGCCGATGCAGCCTCACCATAGCTCATGCACTGACGGGTTCTTCCCTCTTCGCATCTGTATTCCTCATCAAAGTTGGAGGAAGAAAAACTTAGGTTTCTGAGATCAGGCCTTACAATCTTGTGCATATACAGGTTCAGCCATAGCTATATCAACCACCGAGGGCCACTAATAGTATGCACTAGTTCATTCTTCAACAACTGGGCAGCCACCTAGTGCATCAGATGATAGGCAGCTCCTAACAGATACTTTCTAAGGGGGATATCCTTACCCACTGTCAGATGCTCTGTTATAAGTTTGTGATTGTAGGTTGGACCACAAGATGACCCACAGAAGATGAATGTTTCTAGCCACATATTCAGGAAAGTCATATATTCTCTTTTGCTAACAACTAATCCGTCTCCAATATGGTTCAGAATGTAGCTTGCCCATCCTGTGTAGTCTGATATCTTGGCCATTTTTTTGGAACGGGCACTTAAGTAATCATAAGACTGCATTGATCCAGTTATTCTAAGGCCGGTCAACATGTAAACATCGGCCAGAGTGATGGTCATTGGACCATGACCAAAAACAAAGCGTTCAGGTTATTGGACCAGAAATAAGATATAGAAATTAGGAATGAATTATTCCTTTCCATTCCAGACAACAAGAGCATCAAACATTGATTCCAATCATAAACCTCCCAATCTCTAGCCTTTTTCTCGGACACCCTACGAAACCAGTCTCGTCATCCCTTAGGCATTTTGGGTCAGTTTCTGAAGAGAGTTTTGGTGTTCCAGGAGGATGAATCCACTGCAGATTGTTTGAAGGTGATTTGGTTGGTTTCTTGATGGATAAAATCAGATGGATCAGGGTCACCCATAGGCCCAAAAAAATAAACATTGGGAGCAACAGCTGATGGAATCAAGATTTCGTTCCTCATTTCCTAGAAATCGGATGAAATAAATTTGAGAAGAAAGGAAATACAGGGTAGCGAACGGTACTTGGGAGATGAAAACTTGGAAGCATACCTCAGGGACGTGGTCGCTGGTCGCCATTGTAGCCGAAATGGATTTGAATCTGAGGGGGGTCGCTTGAATAAAAGCTTGATGGGACAGAGGATTCGCTAGGGCTGAGGTCTTGGTGATGGCGACGTTGGCTATTAAGATTTGCTCGAGAAAGAAGGGAAAAACGAATGGGCCGAGTAAGTTGGATACAATACTGTTGGGATATTATATAAAAACTCAGACCGAGAAGTCGGGGAGTCGCGTGGATATCTCAAAACAAAATGGTTGCGACATGGTAAACAGATAAATTGGAATTTTGGAATAAAATTATTTTTATCTCAAAATTGGGAGGCATGTGTTTACACCAAAATTTAGGAAGGAGAACGCGAGAACTCGAAGCTTTCAAGATCGTGTCAATCGGGGAATCGATCGCATAAGGATTGATATCAGCTGATTCAGATGCGGCACCGGAATCAGCTCTCTTCGAATGACGTCAGTAGATAACGACAATGAGTTACGGTTGGCGTCGGGGAAAACATGTCGGACTCTATAAAAAGGGAAAGATTAGGGTCCAAGTTATCTTAAATTAGGAATGTTTTATTTTATACCAAATATTGTAATGAGTCGTACTTGAGTAGGATTCCTACTTAGGCTCTGGGTATAAATATTGAACCCTGGCTATTGTAAAGGGACATCCAATCAATTAAATACAATTTACTTTTTTTGGCTCCGTGCCAACCCTTAGAAGTAGGAGCAAAGTAGATCCCAGCGAGTTCTTCAATAAGCAAGGCTGCATCGGTCCGACCGACCTCCGATTTGTCTGTAAGTACCGTCATGGCTTATACTTTTGTTTGTACGGCTGCATCGGTTAAGTTCGACCTCCACTGCGAGCTCTAGTATAAGCTAGTTATCGACTCTTGTCTAGTTCAAGTACGGCTGCATCGATCCGGTCGATCTCCACTGCTCGAATTAGATTAAGGTCAAGTTATCGGCTCTACCTAAGGGTGGCGTCCTTCGGGTAGATTCATTAAGTTATCGATCTTGCTGATGTTCTTATTGTTATTAGTTTGCAACAACATCAATCTGCAAGGTCGAAATAGATTTAGATCGGCCTCATATCCTTTCAGTCCGTCGTTCGCTTTGCCACAAAACGATGTTTCTTACTCTGAGCGACGGGTTATGTCTCATCGGCTGTTCTGTTTCGATCTTGATCGTGCATAGTACACGGTTAAGGCACGTATGATCTTGAAGATGTTTGTTGGCTAGTTGAATCTGGTCTATAGTTCGCTATTATGGCTGCAACAATCCGGTCGATCCCCACTGATGGCACTGTAGATTGGAGGACGTTAGTTGGTAGGTTTGTTCTCGATCAGGCGTGACCTTAACTGTTTGCTATGCCTGCATCGACTAAATAGCCGATCGTCTATGCTTTAACGCCTACAGTGTGCGTCCATGATTCTGTTAAGCGTGAATAGATCTGTGTACTTTAAGGGTTTGATTTGTTGTCTTTATCACGGCTGCATTGATCCGGTTGAACTCCACTGTTAGAGATAGTTGGTTAAGTCTGATGAGTCCATAGGTTTGTCCATGTGAAATAGTTGATTGTTCACACGTTGTAGTCCATTTTCACCAGAATCGGCTATTTTAGTCGATTCATCCGAGCCTTCACGTATAGCATATCTTTCGGAAAGCGTGTCGAAGTATAGATGTTTTTACGGATTCTTCGGTTTTAGTTTGTTATTATCATCATAGCTGCCATCGATCCGGTCGAACCTCACTGGTGATTGTAACAGATTAGATTCAGAGTGTTTATAGATTCATTTGTATTATACAGTCGATTTGTTCGCATGTTATATCCTTTCTTGATTAGATTCATCGGCTCAACGATTCACACTGGTAATTTTCACCTAGCTGATGAGCTCATTTACATTTGCGGGCATTGTATTTATCAATATAAAATCAATCGCGATCCATAACCTTTACTGTCCCTAACAGCCGATTTCTGTGTGTATCGGCTATTTAGTCGATTTTCCCGTCTGGCTACTCTCGAAGCGGCACACATGAAACTATCTGGGCAAAAACCAGCATGTTCCACCTTAAATTACTGATAAACTTTCTCTCTTTCTCAATTGTAGGTCAAATTGATGACACGCCTCGAGAGAAATTCGCAGGATTAATTAACCCTACGTTGAAGCAAGCGGATCTCCATACTCATCCTAAACAGATCCTTCCGGTTTACCGTGTTCATCCTAAACAGATCCTTCTAGTTTACCATGTGTCGACACATTTTCATGCCTGACAGATAGACATCATGTAGAACGTCCATCCGAGAGTCAAAAGCCATGTTTGGAAGGTTAATTATTAGCCAGAGCTAAAACTATCATCCGCGATTCTAGTAGTAAACTAGAGGGCATCCAAACAGCGCGATTCCAGTAGTGAACTACAGGGCATCCAAACAGTACGTAATAGAATTCCAGTTCAACTCCGGAGATTGCCGAGTTGGTCAAAAGGTCTCGAGGGTTCAAATCCCACTCTCAACATACATCAGTTTTCTTTTCATCATTTTCTTTTGATTTTAATAATACCCTCCTACAGCATTTGTCAAAGCTCCAAAGTCATGATCATCCTAGGTTTTAAAATTAAATGTGTGCAGCTCTAGAGGCTTGAGGAGCTGAGAAAGGCACATTAAGTCTCATCAATTATATAAATCGTCATCTCGTTCCTATTCCTAGCATGAAGCAAAAACTCCATCCTTCTCCATTGAGGGTGCACAGACAGCACAGTACAACTAATGCGCCAGAACAAGGTCTTACTTCATCAATCACAGTTAACAGAACATGTGCCTCAAAAATACTGTGAATGGAATGCCAACAGGCCTATGATGATTTTCTGATGGAAAGATCCATGTGAAGATAGGCAATGAAGGCAACAAAAAACAGCAACACTGCAGATATCAGCATCAATGGTTCCGCCAGCATGAAGATCGGATTGAATTCATAGTACACCTAAAGTTACCATAATGTTCCACAGATTAGAATCATCAGATGAAATAAGGCGGGTTGCCAGCTAGGCAGCGATCCTGACCACCAAGCGCTCAAAATCGACAGCTTGGATTGCTGCCTGGCCAGGCAACCTTTGCCTGGGGTGCTGAAAGCAAACAGGCCTACATGGCCTCATCAGAATGTGAACAAGTACCTGGAAAGGAACGTTGTGCTCTCCTACAACATTTTTCTTCTTCAGTACAACTGTCGTCCTTCCAACAACATCAAGGTATGAATAACTAGTCTGCATCAGTTAAGAACATCATAATCACAAAATACTCTCTCATTAGCAAAGTTTGATAAAGGCACTGTTCCATTTGCAAAGGAGCAGATGCTCAGACTTGTTTTGGTGGACTTCTAGTCCTCCAAGATAGGAAACTACAAGGCTGACATAGAAACTAAGCCATGACAGCCCCCAAACTAAGTCGAAATACAAAGTTCTGGGACTCAGCAATATGCACAGCTCACGATAGAAACTAAACCAGGACAGCAAGTGTTGCAAAGGCCCTACCAGATGCTAGCTGATTCCATAGTGTACACTTACAATGGTTCATCTGAGATTATATTTTATCTATCCATTGTTGTTGGTGTGAATCAACAGTAGCGTGCGCCAGAAGGAAAGTTGGGCATAAGAGGGAGTAGTTAATGTTAGGAAGGAAAGGTGAGATTACCTCAAGATGTTTCTCTGTCACAAAAGGAACTACAGGCTGTGGATTTTTGATCCTTCAGGAAGCACAACCTGCAACATTACACGATTTGAGAAGATTCTGCTATATGTGAATACCAAAAGAACAACTTTTGATATCTCATCGGCACTCCTGGTAATATTTCTCAAAATCTTGTAACGGATAAAAAAAAAAGTTGGACTAGACAAGGAACATGGCAGCCAGGTCAGCACCGGGGCGAAGCGAGTGGGGATGATGCTCCTGAGATTGCGCTTACACTAGCAAGAAATGAGAAGCTGCTACATATCCAATTATTCGTTTTTGAGCTAGGTTACTTTTACCAGTAGTACAAAAGATGCTCATCAGAAAATATAAACCTTGTTCAGACTTACTTTAACTGTAAGATCGTCAACCACAGTATCCAATAGAGGGCAACCAAAAGTAAGGTTGATGTAGCGCCGGCCATCAACTGACTCAAAGACAAAATCTTGCAATGGAAGACCATAGCCAACGGTGAACGTGCAGTGCCAGCCACCAAATAATGGATATCTGGGCTCAATTTCTAGCTCGGACTGAGTTAAAAAAACATGCTTTAGTTTGCCATTTTACATTGAAGTAAAATAAAAGGGCATCTTCCAGTAACTAGAATAGCAATTCATTAAAATCTAATGCTTGTGGAAACATATCTTGTACCTTGTGTGAATCAGTGCGCAGATGGGATGAGGAGATGTTACCAATCTCATCACGATAGTAAACTGAATGAACCCGAGGTGGCAGCCTTACAAGAAGATTCTTAAAGGACGAAGCTCCACTGACAGATGGCCTAGATTGATACTCAAGCCTAGCAAGAAAGTTCTCAATCACTAACTATGAAGCATTTAACAAAAGCTAGAAAAGCTGCTCGAAACATGCTTTTCAGCTTTTAGTTTATTTCCTCAGGCTCAACAGATGGATTGTTTGTTTCAGCTTCTGGCTTCTAGCTGGCAGAAGCCAGTAAAAAGCTAAAACAAACAGGCCATTTCTTGAACTAATGAGTTGCTTATACTTCACTTCATACTACAGCTTCAAATCAAGAGATTCAGATATCCATTTCCATACCACATTATTTACTTAACAAATAGAAACATGCCTATGTGTATTTAACATGGCATGTGCTACATATCCAAAGGCAAAGCAGTGCTGGAAGGTACCAGTCCATATATTATTACGTTTCGTCATTACCAGATCTATATCATTGAAAAAGGTGAACAAGTTGAGAACAGTTGACTAGATGATGTCCGGGAAAGCATCCCCAACTCACAAATGCCACTGGTTCTTGCTGACATGTGGCACTGTGGCCCACATGTCAGTCTGACAGCCAACAGAATTCTTCATAGGAGATAATTTCATAGTCGCATTTGTCTCGTATCCAATGCTATCTTTAGGACCAGATAAGCTATAGAGATGGGAGTGTAAAGACTATAACCTGGAAAAGACTCCTTTGTGACGAGCACCGCCGTGTTTCAGTTTATACTGCTCGGTGATTTGGATGTTTCCCCAGTGAGAAATCTCCACCTTGCGTACAAGTTCCTCAACAACAGCAAATGGACGGTTATTCTCGTAATGCACAAGAATTGGCAAATAGGAGTTTGGCATCTGGTTATTGTATGTGCCATATTTCACTTCAGAACCAGCTCGTGTGGTAGGATCAACCCTAGTGAAGGATTCAATCCTATTGCTTGGCATTTTGATGTAGGTAACCTGCTCCAGGACATGGTAGGGCGAGAGAAGCACCGCACTGTCACGGTAGTAAACCAGCTGGGACTCTGACTGGCTAATCTCGGCGGGAAAGGGCTCTAAAGAGTGAGTGAGCATGTATAACACTTCTAGAGTGGTTGCATCGCCAGGTTTCAGAGGAGTGCTGAGCAGAACAGAGTAGAGGCGAGGGGCATCAGGAGCGGTGGTGGCGAGCTCAGAGGCTTCGATCGAGAGGGGTACGAATGCCTTCTTCTTGTGCTTCCCCTCCGCTCTCGTGGCCTTGACAATAGAGAGATGTTGAACCTCTGTGGGCGTGAAGGCGAGAAGAACTCGTGATGCTTCAGAGGCAGTGGGAGCATTCTCGACCTGGCACAAAGGGATTGAAAAGTTGTGGAAGATGCCTATGCTGGAGAAAGTAACAGGTGCTGGCTGCCAATTTGAGCAAAAGGGGCGAGTAAGACATTACCTTCAATGTTAGGAAGACTTTGACGATGGGACCCGTGAGGTCGATCTGCAGGCAATCGAAATTTGTAGATGAAGAAAATGTCATACATAATAACGATTTGAGAGGAAGAGATTTGGCACGGATAAAGGGGACTTTAGCAAGGGATCGCCCTCAATCTCTCTCTTAAACCCTGAAGTGAAGCTTCCGCCACCGATACAAGTGAATCAGAGCGGGTCATTACAGCGCAGGATTTGGATCGAGAATTGTGACTATATACTGCAGTATATCTAAGCAATCGGGTCTTTCAAAGAAAAAAAATATATGCATCTAAGTAATCTAATCTCGAAAGGGAAGCTAATAAAAGGGTCCAGTAGCAGTGATCCACTTGACACGAGCCAGCAACCTGACGGCCTGCAAGATGTGATTTAGGAAGAGGGAGAAGAAGAAGACGTGGAGGAGGAGGAAGATATACCCAGGGTCAGGAGAAGATGAGTTACAAACCCTTTTCTCTGCAGAGACGACCCGGATGCCGTCCTCCGGCGGCAAGGAAGAGCAGGAAACGGCGGACGCGATGACGAGCAGGAGGAGGGTACGGGTGGCTAGGGTTCGGAGGGACAAGGGCAACATCACGTCTCGGTGGTCCATCATCGCCGGCGGTCTGGCTGGATGGGGACTCACCTTGGCTTTGGGAATTGGTTTGGGACTTCGGGAGAGAGGAGGGAGAGATCTGGGAGGGGGGGTGGGCCCACCCGAGTGCGTCGTGCGTGACCTGTTTGTTGACTGAGGGGCTGCTCGGTTTTGGAGCCAGCCTAGCCTGGCCTCGCCGAGCAAGGCAAGCCTACCTCACCGAGACAGGACCAGGACAGCGAAATTTGCTCGCCAGGCAAGGCAATTATCTATCTCTTCTCTACAACAAAAAAAAAGTAATGGTATCGTCTTACCGCCTCGCCTTAACCGCGCCCGCGTTAAAAAGACCGACCATTGGCAAGCGCCCGTTTCCAACGCCCGCACGCCTAGAGAAAAACGAAAGCCGCTCGCCTCCCCTCACACCCTTCGACCCCGTCCAACCCCGCGATGTCCCTCTCCATCCTCGCTCCCAGCGCCCCTTCGGCCCTTCCCAATCTTCCGACGGTGGGTGTCGGTGTTTCGAACAAGCACCGGCTAGTAAATTTATATTTATGTGTGTCAGACCCGGATGGTGCGCTAAAGGACACAAGGTTTATAATGGTTCCGGCTGAATGTCCCTACGTCCAGTCTGTTACTGCTCATGTTATTAGCACTGAAAGCGGTTCGTAGTAGGGGGCACAAACGGTCGAGAGATGGACTGGTCCCAGGTCTCTGATGGAAGGGTCGAAAGGAGGCCAAGAGCCTGGTGGCGGCTTGGCCGTGTATGTGAGTTGAACTGAACTCTCTATGAGTTCGTCTGTATGTGAGTTGTCCGTTGAAAGTCAGTTTTTGTTCGGTCCCCTTCAGTGGGGAGCCCTGCCCTCTCTTTTATAGATGAAGGGGGGAGCAGGGGTTACAGATGGGTGAAAAGAGGAAAATACCAAGGGTATAGAAGGTCCTTCAACGGGCCTAGGTCTTCCTTTTCCTCCAAGCCAGCTTTGTAGACACGACCAGCTGGTGTCAGAGGTTGGCACATTCGTCGGGTGCCTGTGTGCCGATGATGTTGCGCCTTTACCTGATCTGCAAGTGGTCACGTCCCGTCCCGCCCCCGCGGGTGGCGTGTCGGGCTGAGATGTTTCCCCATGGCCTTGTGGGGAGCGAATGGTGCGGTGACCACTCGTTCGTTACTGTAGAGGACGGGAGTCCCTCCTTGGACTGTATTGGTTGTCCTATGTTGATGTCTGGTTCCTCACCCGGGGGCTGAAGGCGGCGCCTACAACACTGTAGGCTGGAAAAGTACGCGCCCACAACACTATTCAGCTCCTGCCATACCTGGAAGGATCTAAAGCGCCCGTCTCGTCGTGCTCTGACAGTACTTTCCTACAGCGGCGCAGGGCATGGTCCTCGATGCTGCGGTTTGACCCGAACGTCTTGTCTTACCCTTTGCCTATCATCATGAGGGAGCGAGGTGTGGTTGTCAAGTGAGGCGAAGGCAGCCTTTAGACATCGGGCGAAGCGAGGTCCTCCCTCGGACATCGGGCGAGGCGGAGCCTAGCCCCTATTCATCGGGCGAGGCCAAACCCAGCTTTTGGGGGGTCGGGCGAGGCGCAGTTTTAGCCTTAAGCCCTCGGACGAGGCAAGGACAAGCTTTTAGCCCTCGGTCAAGGTGGAGTTTATACTTCGGGGGTTGGGCGAGGCAGAGTCTAGCCCCTAGCCCTCGGGCGAGGCGAGGCCGAGCCTTCAGCCCTCGGGCGAGGCGGAGCCATTCTCCAGCCGTCGGGTGAGGTGGAGTTGGCTTGTGGACGTCGGGCGAGGTGGAACCAATCTCCTATCGTTCGGGCAAGAAGCGCAGCAGTGTTCTTGTCTGTTCTGGAGTTTTTTTAACGTTCGATTGTTTATTAGTTCCATCTCCTTGGGTACCCCGGTATTAGGTCCCCGACAGTAGCCCCCGAGCCCCTAGGTGATTCGAGTAGAATTGCCCGGGGGGTAGCATCGGTTTTGTCGGCGTCAATCTGCTAGAGGGTGCGCGCGAGCGCACCCGGTGGATGTAACCCCCGGGTGATTTGAGTAGAATCGCCCGGGGGGTGTTCTGATCTCGTCGGAGTTAGTTCGCCAGAGGGTGCGCACGAGCGCACCTGATGGGTGTAGCCCTTGAGCCCCCGGATGATTTGAGTAGAATCACCCGGGGGGTAGTATCCGGCCCTCCATGGGTAAGGCCATAAGACTTGGTTTTTTGTCAACTGGATATTTTTTGAGGGAATCATGGTATCCCGTTCGCGGGGATTTCATTCAGGGTCGGCCTGATTGGAGCTACAGTGGATCGAGGCCCTGGCGATGCTTGCGTCCTTGAGTCCTGGTCATTTTGCGGGCCCATCCCTTGCTGGGGCGGCCATCGAGATGGTTCGGACCAAGCCCTGGTCGTTATGGGCCCAGACGGATCAGAGAAGAGATTTTTCTGGCCCACGTCCCCTCTGTGGGAAAAGAGTCCGATCGCTTCGGGAAGGCAAACCGTCCAGCGTGATTTCGGTTGGAGAGGATAGGGATCGCGGGTGCATGTCCCACGACATGACGCGATGGTGCGCGTGGCAGGCCCAGAGATCGAGGCGGGCGGTTGCCTTTCTCGCATCCATCGCCCCTATAAAACCACGGGGTTTGCCCCCAGGGTTCCGTATTTCGCCCCCTTGCCTTCGTGTCTGAAACCTCCGCCGCTAATCGCCCTAGCCTCCTGCGCCCGCGCCGCCGCTGCCGTTGAACTCGCTGCTGCCTTCTTCTCCGTGCTGCTCCCACCATCGCAATGGACCCAGGGTACAAATCCAACATCTCCATTCGACGCCTGGAGGGCCTCGTCCGCCGAGGCCTCCTTTGCCCGTTGACCGCCGTCAAGGAGTGGCGGCTGCCCGGTGAGGAGGAGGAGCCATAGCCGTCTGAAGGGTACGTCGTGTATTTTGCTCACTTCCATGAGCAGGGATTCGCCATGCCCGCCCATCTGTTTTTCTAGGGACTGCTGGACTACTATCAGGTGGAACTGTAGCACCTTACCCCCAACGGGATCTAGCACATTGCGGCGTTCGTCGCCCTGTGCGAGGGGTTCTTGGGGATCAGTCCCCACTTTAACATGTGGCAGTATCTCTTTGCCGTTAATCTGGTGAAGAGGCGGGTCGGGCAGCAAGAGCTGCATGCGCCGGTGGGGTGCGCCATCATCCACCTCTACAACAACCGAGGGGGGACATACTCGCTAATGCGTTTGTCCACCTCCAACAAGGGGTGGCATTTGCAATGGTTCTATATAAGAATAACGCCGCCGCCCCCTTGCCAGCTTTCACTGGGCGCTACATCTTGGAGGCCTCGGGGTCGTGGGGGTGGAGCGTCCCGGGTAAGGAAAAGAAGCAACTCAACGGCCTTCTTGGCACCATCCAAACTCTGAAGCAGAGGGGCGTGAAGGGGTCGGGGATCATCGGTGCCTACCACACGAGGAGGGTTGCGCCGTTGATGGCGCACGCGCCCCCCCTGTATCAGATGGTGCCCGAAGCGTCGTTCGAAGGGACGGTGCTTGTCGACGAGGCGCTCCCTTACTTCGAAGTGGCACAGCGCATCAAGGAGACGATGGAGCCCACGAAGGACTCCCGTGGCGGCATTCTTGACATTGTGTATCCGGTGCCGGGACATCCCCCAATGCGGCCGGAACCGGGGTTTGTTCACTTCGTAAGTCTTTTTTCCCTTCGCTCCTCTTTTCACTTGAAATTTCCAACCCCCTGATGCTAACCTCGGGATGGTGGGACTAGCCAAGGGGACTACACTTCAAGGATAGCCTAGCTCCGCTGCCGAAGGACCCAACCCGAGCGGCAACGAACCGCACCGCGGCTGGTTGGGACAAGAAGACGAGGGAGCTCACGAAGAAAAAGGCGATACGGAAGCAGCAAGCTCGAGATCGAGGAGAGGAGACGAGCAGTGAAGATGACGATGACGATGATGGGTCCAATGAGGGAGTGGCCAGTGTGGATTGGGGTGATCTAGTGGACGAGGACTCGTTGCCCCCACAGGGACCCTTCCCGTTCCACGCGGAGGGAATTGAGTCTACGGGAACAGTGGAGCCGAGCCCGCCCCTAGGTCCAATGGGAGCCAGTGGATCTGCCGTTACCCTCAGGGTGCCGGTGGAGGATTGGTGGATGGGAGGGGATGGATCCGAGACCGTCCCCGTGGTGCTGGTGGAGGGGGGGCGGCTCCGACGCCACGCGCCCGGGAGATGATGGAGAGGAGCGGCTCTGGCACCGTGCCCCATGAGACGGTGGAGGGGAGCGGCTCTAGCACCGCGCCCCATAAGGCGATGGAGGGGAGCGGCTCTAGCGCCGCGCCCCATGAGACGGTGGAGGGGAGCGGCTCTGGCGCCGCGCCCCATGAGACGGTGGAAGGGAGCGGCTCTGGTGTTGCGTCCTATGAGGCGATGGAGGGGAGCGGCTCTGGCGCCGTGCCCCATGAGACGATGGAGGGGAGCGGCTCTAGTGCCACGCCCTATGAGGTGATGGAAGGAAGCGGCTCTAGCGCGGCGCCCCATGAGACGGTGGAGGGGAATGGCTCTGGCGCCGCGCCCCATGAGACAAGGGAGACGAGCCCCCCTGCCCCGGAGCAGGGGACAGGCTCGAAACGGTCCCGCCCGCATGAGTTGGAGTAGGGGTCCGAGGGTTCATCCCCGAAATGTACCCGCCGCCCAAAAGCGTCAGAGTATGTCACCGATTCCCCTCATTTTTCCCTTTATTTTTCTATTCCGATCTTACGCTTTTTCCCTATTTTGTAGATTCTTGCGACGGGGCCACCCTTTGGGGCCGGCGCCCAAGAAGAGCCTTGCCCTTCAGACGGGATGGATGATGCTGCCCGGGGTCACCCCTGTTTCGGGTGCCATGGTTGCGGCCTCGTTGGCCGGTCCGGCGGCGCCCGCAGTGGTTTCCGAGCAGACGGCTGCGACTGCGCCAAGCCAGGAGCAGCCGAGCGTAGCCATGGTGGTGTTCGAGGGGGTGGCGCAATCC